GTTTTATTTCATGATATATATATATATAGATCACCTATCTTAAGGTTTTCTAAGCACTTGGTCCACTACTGTTCTCCATCTATACTGCCTCATTTGGTAAACTCATTAGCTCCTTTGGCTCCCAATATCATTTCTATGCAGATAACACGCAAATCTACCTGTCCTCTCCTGATCTCCCCCCGTCCCTCTTGACTAGTGTCTCTGACTGCCTCTTTGCTGTTTCTAACTGGATGGCTGCCCACTTCCTTAAACTAAACTTGACCAAAACTGAAATTCTTCCCCAAGTGTTCTTACTCTTGTGTATGTCTCCCTCCTAGTCAACGGTGCTACTATCAGCTCCACCACGCAGGCTCGCTGCCTATTTGTTCTCTTTGACTCCGACCTTCAAGCCTCATGTTCAATCTATTGTCAAATCCTGTCATTTCCATCTCAAAAACATTGCGCGCATCCAACCCTACTTAACGCCAGATGCGACTAAGGTGTTGGTCCATTCCACTGTCCTCTCTCGCCTTGACTACTGTAATCCGCTTCTCAGTGGTCTTATGTGCTCCCAACTTGCACCGTTACAGTCCATAATGAATGCGGTGGCGAGGCTCATCTTCCTGTCCGCCCGCACCTCCCATTCCTTCTGTCAGTCCCTACATTGGCTTCCTATAAAATATAGAGCTCAATTTAAAATTCTGGTTCTTGCTTTCAAATCTCTACATAATGCTGCTCCCACCTATCTATCCTCCCTTATACACAAGTATGTCCCGTCTAGGCCCTTACGATCTGATGAAGACGTACGTCTATCTTCTGTCCGTACTCCCACCTCTGATGCTCGCCTTCAAGACTTTTCCAGGGCTGCACCGTTCCTGTGAAACTCGCTTCCCTCCTCCGTTAGATGCTCACCCAGTCTCCACTCCTTCAAAAAATCTTTAAAAACCCACTTTTTCATAAAAGCGTATCAATCAAACTGTTAATAGCTGTAACAGTCTAATGCTATCCTTACCTTTTTGTGTCATTTTACCCCACTCCCTCTAGCATGTAAGCTCATTGAGCAGGGCCCTCAACCCCTCTGTTCCTGTGTGTCCAACTTGTCTGGTTACAACTACATGTCTGTTCGTCCACCCATTGTAAAGCGCTGCGGAATTTGACGGCGCTCTATAAATATCATAATAATAATAATAAAGTGTCACCTGTTCACTGACATTTTACCATTTGAACACATGATTTAAACATTCTGAGGTAAACAGACTATGAACACTTGCTACATCTGTGTCACATAAATACATTTAAAAAAAACAAAGCGTTTTGCTGCTTAGTAACACATCAACGATCCCCGTGTGAAAGGCAATCAGAATGTCAAAAGCTGTTCAATGAGTGCCACCATGTGTTTTTGTAGTGTGTGGTGTAATGACTTTGAAGGTGGAACTGAAAAGGGGAAACTGATACCTCAGCTCACCACATAGTGAGGAGTTCCTCTCTAACCAAACTAAATTATTCAAAACCATCTCTTCACTCAACCTCAAAACATCTGTGTCATTTACAACCAGAATGGCTCTGCATAGTTACAATTTACTGAATACGTTCTAGTGCCCAACATCATTATTGTGAAATATAATGAATTAATTCAATTAATTCCTTTAACCTCTATCATAGCTTGCACATAATGAGCCTTGAAGTGGATTTGTAACCCAGTTCTAAAAAGTGCATCGTATGCATTTTGTAAAACCTTTGTTATAATTTGTATTTTTAACTAGCAGGTGCTCTGAGCAATTGTCTGCCCCTTGACTTTAGTAAATATGAGAATGGTCACTTTGGTTGGTCCATTCAAAGACAAAGTCTGGGCTTCAGTGAAACACCTTGTGTGTCAGGTAAAGTTGTAAAAAGTGAAACGTGTAAAGACATGTCCCAACATTTCAATTAGGGGCACTTTATTTTTAGGGGTGTCAGTGGGTGTGGCCAGGGGTGAGGCTATTCTGAGAAATTTTAGCAACTAACAACTTATATTATAGAGATGCATGTGGAAATAGTGAGAGAGCATGGTTCCTTGAAAATGCTTCTGCTAAAGTTCCACGAAACAAATAGAGCTACAAACTCAACAAGTTGTCCGGTTCGAAGCCAGTGCCAGAGACCTGGAGGATTCAGAGGATAGGATTATTTGGATGATATCCTCTAAAAGTCACTAAATCATATACAAAACACGTTGACTAGAGCATGTACCTTATTGTTAGCCATATTACTGTGCAGCAACTTTTGCTCATACCTTATTATTATTATTATTATTCACTAAAGGGAGAATTTAAAGTGAAATACAAAATTAAGTTCAAAATAGCCAAAATAGCCAAATTGAACACATTCTCTAAGTCAGTTATGCTTTCAGTGGCTGTAAATTTGAAATTCACTTTCAATTCTCACTTTAGTATATAACCCTGAAGGAGTTGAACAATTTTGCTTGTGAGTTTTATGTATTTGATGGATCATGTATTTTCTGATTAAAAACATCAAGAGTATAATGCAAGGTAACGCTTAAAGGTGCAGAGTTCCCATTATTCTGGTATATACCTATTTATTTATCCTTGTAGTGTGCCCTAAAAATTATATATAGTAAGCACACAGTCAAAAGTAGTAATCAGATGCGTGTTTGGAAACATCATGTTCTTTGTACTCTGAGAAAAATAATATAATTAATTATGTGAATTTAACTGTGTGTGGCTGGGGGTGATATGACAGAGTTGGGAGGCAGATAGATTGTGTGTAGGAATGCTGTGTTTCTCTGTCTGGTCTCCCCACACAATGCAGGTATTTTTTTTTTAGTAGTAGTGCCCCTCCTGCTTACCTTTTGTGTGATATGGCTCTATTGATATTGAATATTGATTCCCTAGCGGTCTAGTGAGCTGCAAAGCTGCTCCTCCAGCTCTGTGTGAACGCTCCTTTCTGGTCTCTGACCAGGATCAGGGTTGTCTTTCCCCATGGGCACGCTGGGCAGTTGCCCTGGGTCCCGACAGGCATGGGGGCCCCACCGCACTGCCGAGCATGCCTGGCCGACATGGGAGATCCTTTGCAGGCTGCACAGAACTCACCACTGAACCACCGGGGCTGGCTGTCCCCCTCCCCCCCCCCTCATCAAATGTAAGAAGAAGGGGGGGGGGTATAGAGATATTATTTAATGTATAGTAGTATTAAAAAAAACAAAAATAAATTTGCATCCTGCACCCTTCAAACTCCCCCCACACAAACCACTCCACACACACAGCACCGCACACTCACATAGCACTCCACACACACACACACACACACACACACACACCATCCCACACACACACACACACACACACAGCATCCCACACTCACACACACCGCAACCCATACACACAAACACATACAATGCACCCCTCACAGCAGTCTGTGTGTATGTATTGTATGTAGGTATTCCATTTGTTGGAGGTACTAATAAATATAAGCCTAATTGTATCTATAATTTAAGTTTTTATTCATGTGAGTTTTTGTATAGGTAGGGTCGCAGCGCACTGCTTTGCCCAGGGTCCCATAATGTTGTTAAAATGGCATAGGACTAGGATGAAGCTTTAGTGGTAATCTGCACTAAGCCGCAGGTGCAGACCTGTAGATCTCCCCACAGGCCCATGCAACTGCAGGAGGGCTCAGCAGTGCACTATAATAGTTGCCCCAGCTCTGTTCCTTGGACATCTATTTTAAATTAAATTTTAATTTCGCAATAGTTAAAATCGTGTATACGATTAAAGCTTAAAGGGCCCTTGTCATGCCCAAAACTACTTGTGCTCTTTTTAAAGAGCATCAGATTTCATATTTTTTATTTGTGCTAGCAGTTTTGCTAACAAATTTATAGATCATTTTAATTATGTGCTTGTTTTAAAACAAAATCCAAAAATCAGTAGTGATCGATTTGCAAAATAATACACAATGCTATCTAATATTTATTTTTCTAGTATAAAGTTGCAGTTTATTTTTGTCACAGTTGTTAGGGTTGTGGAGGTAGTGAGAGACACTGTGTTAGTAGGAGGAAGTTTATATTGAGATACAGAGGAGTTTATAACAAAAAAGAGTCATAGCCAAATTTCTGACTCATTCTCACTCACAGGAACAATTGACTGTGCATACAACGCCTCCAAGCTCCTGAGAATCTCACAGTCTGGGGTGGATGCGAGATAAACTGCTGCCAAATGTGATAAGATTTTCAAAACGACTTTTAATTTTGATGAATGAAAGAAAGCTACATGAATTTACAGGCATACTATATTGTTGTACTGTGATTAAAAAAACAACAAAAAAACCTCACCTCATTTGTGCATTTTGTACTTATTCATATACTGTGAGGACAGCTCTTCACGTGTGTCATTTTTATGAAAATATTCTGTATATATATTACAATATGTATAGCTAACAATATAGCTCAAGCAATATAATGCTATACATGATTAGACATACTATGAAATATTCTATACCTAGGGTTCATACCCTACGCAGAATTTCATTTGAATTTGGAGGGGATATTGCCAGCCATACTTGGCGGGACCGCCAACGCACAGGGCCCTTGCAGTACCACTTACATAAAAACAACACCATATAAGTGTCACCCACTGGAGGGGAGGCAGTGCCACCACTGGTAGTCTTCACTGCATGCCCAATATGCACAAATTTAACATTAGCCGGCCTGGAACTCTTGCACTGGGTAGGCTAATGATGTTGTTAGAGTTGAATTTACCCCTTCAGAAGCAAAGTGTTTTAACTCTGACTGAAACACTGTACATTACGTCAAATCTAACAAGCCGTTATTGCTTGTTCCTGTGTGTCTGAGGCTGCCTCCACCATACTGATCTGGCCTACCAGGCTTGTCAGGTCAGCCTAGCCCGAAGCTGGACTACATCTACCTGGAGTATTTTTTGCAGGACCCCAGCATTGCCTTCAGTGTTTCAGCGTGGTGACTGGGTCAGGTTTCTAAGCTTTTGGGGTTTGTGGTATCAGTGGTACAAACATACCGCCAGAGCAGTCTTGCAGGCTCAGGTTGTCCGAAGAGTCTGTGAATTCTTCTAAGCCGGTGGCCATTTTGGGCCCATGTGCGCCTTGCACTTGGCAGAACAGATTGCCGATATTTGCCCCAGGTCTGGGTTTGTCTGGATTTAGTTTTTCGGCCCATCTCCCCTTTTGTAGCAGTGTATTGTAATCACAGCACTCTGGGTCATTGGGAATCTGTAGTTTTGTCGGTAATGTAGCAGAGCCCATCTAGTATGCATCTGTTTAGTGCTGTTGCAGGCCCCTGCACCAGGCAAAATTAAATTGCGATCATATAGGTGTTTTCACTTCTTGGGGGAGCAATATATTTAGTGCCTCGGATTTGTCCATATTCAATTTAAGATTGAAGATCGTGGGCTTGGTCGCCATGCTGTCCGGTCGCATGCAGGAGAGGCTCCTGAGGGATTCAAATCTATAAGCTAATATAGAGCCAATTCTGAGCCCAAAAAGCACCAAGAGACAATTCTGAGCCCGAAGGTCACAAGAGAGGATTCAGGTGCAGCAGTGGAGCCCAGTAGGGCGATAAGAAACTTTGGATTCTGTGGCCTACTAGAGAGAGGAGTGGGGTGGATGGCTGCCCTGCTCTCTCCCTTCCGCCCCAGCTTCCACATACTGGCTCTCTGACACGGTTGACTGTCCTGTTCCTCTCGCCTTTGGACTGTTGGGGATTATCTCAAAACAGCCGAAGTAGCAGGGAGGGAAACGCTACAACTTACCAAGCACTCAATATCCCACGCTTGGAAACTATAATGGCTGCCAATCTTACCTTCAAGACACTGTTCATGCTGATAAGCATGCATACATTGTCAGTGGCTCCTCACCAAGACGACTCAGACAGTCCAACAGTTAGAGAAAGACTGTCGACTGTGCAAACCTACATCCCAGCACCCGCGTACAAGCACCCACTCACCTAGGCCTTGAGCCTTGAGGAGACAAAACTCTAAGTTACTGCCTGTCACTCAGGAGGATCACCTCTTGCAAGAACTCCGATGTTGACTCCTGACAGAGGGCGCAAGATGGACCCGTGATGTGACCTGGGACTGGTGGAGCAAAACAGGTAGGGTCGGCCTTTATGCTGGGAAGCCATCACTATTTCACTTAGCCAAGCCAGGGACAGTGGGGGCTTGAGGGGGCATTTAGTTCAGTTCAGCTAGCATGTATATAGACCCTTAGCATGGTCCAAGAAATGCTTGATGCCTGCTGTGGGGGGCTCCAGTGGCTTTTACCAGCTGAAATACTCAGTTCAATTCACTTGCTTAAAATACCTTGAGACAATGCATATGATATGCCTTACTGCTCTTTCTCTTTGACTCTCATTCCTATGCATTGACCTATTCTTGTTTTCTTATTAACACTAATATTGATGATTAAGCTATGCTATAGCTTCCCTAGTACAATCTACTTTGTTTGCTCATTTGTTGTCACTTCACTGATACTTTATTGTAATCTCTTTTTTATGACTAAATATGGAAGCATAGCTTGAATGTGTTTTTATAATATAAAAAAGTGCATGTTTTATCAATTACCCCAAATGTTACGCACGATGATATGCTTGAGGACTGCTGTTGGGCACCCCAAGCTTGTTTGTTTCATTATTATGCACTGTAAAAAAAAAAAAATTAAAATTAAAAAAAATTGGAGATCGCACCAAATGTTTAAAATATGTGTAGAAGGTTTGTCATAGTAACTTTTGGTGCTTCCTGGAAAAAGAGCAGATCATTGGCGTATGCCACGATTTGTTGCTCCTGGTGACCCAGGAGGAACCCTCATCCCATCTGACTGCCTCCAGAAATAGCACCAAAGAGAGGGCAAACAGAAGTAGGGACAGAGGGCACCCCTGGCGGGTTCCATTTCTGATGTGAAATGGTGAGGAAAGTGGTCCATTAACTCTTATGCATGCCAAGGGAGTCGTGTATAAAGATGCCACCCAGGACCGGATGTGGGGACCAAATCCTAATATGCTTTAACATCGAAGTTATATAGGTCGAGTTCATCTGATTGAATTCCTTTCTGGTGTCACAAATCAAGATTAAAGATTACAAGTCAGACACATTAAACTTCATAAGATCAGCAAACAATGTAACATAGAGTAGTAGAATGTAGCAAAACAGACTTTAAAAGCTCCAGGTTGTACAACCTTTAAAACCACTTAGGACAGGGTGTCATGTAGTTGCCCTTGCCCCATGTACCCAATACAAAGGTCAATAGGTTCGCCCGAACCCCCACAGACAGTCCCCCATCCCCTTTTCCCCCACCCACCAAGGAAAGGTAACATCAATGTCTGGGTCCTCCTGCCAGCCAAGCCCTGGGCCTTGGGCCACAGACCTAGGTAGCCTTTGGGGTAGGAGGTACACACACCTACCCCACAAAGAAAGCACTCTGAGCCCCAGTGAAGCTCCAGCATCACCCCTCTGCGAGCCCTGGGATCATAGACCCAGGGGGCCCACCAAAGGAGGAGGCACTCCCATACCCCAGCAGCACAATCAAGCCAAGGGAGAAAGGACTTGCTGGGGAGGGCAACTGTGACCCACATGGGACCCCCAAGCATTCTGTGGAGCAGTGGGGCTATCGAGCACCCCCACTTCCCTGGCGGCCTAACCTGAAATCAGTGCATGATAAAATGAGTACATTGAGGAACAAGGCACCAACCCCGTGTGGGCGTCTAGGTCAGCAAAGGGCAACAGTAGATATGGGGTTGTGACGTCCAGAGTTCCCAGACTTCATCCCGATGGGGAAGAAACAACAAGCCCTGCGTCAGTAAGCTGGGTGTCCCTAGCCCAAAACACCCCCCACCCAAACCTGGTCAAAAGTCTGGCCCATGCTCCCCAACCCACCCAAAGGACCAAAGAGAGGGGCTCCCAGATGGTCAGGCAGACAGGCATAGGTAGGGGAGAGTACATACCCTGGTAGTGGAGAAAACCCATCACTTCTCAGTAGGCACAGGGGGGGAGGGCAAGTGTTGTGGCAGGGATGACAGGCAACTCCAGGAGAATGCAGGACACAGCGACAGCATTCATGGAGTACAGGGACAGGGGCGAGTTAAGGATGGCGCTGTGTAGCAGCTGCATTAATAGAAGGAGGTCTGGAAAGGAGCTTATTCTTCAGGGCTGTTCTGACAACCTCTCTGGAGTAGAAGTTAGTTATGCTAAGGGGCTCCGAGACCAGCCCTGCAGACAATTCTAGTCATGATGAGGGGCTTTCCAGAAGCCAATTCGGGGCTGACACTGCAGGTTGTCCAATGCTCGTAGTAAAGCCGGTATGTTGTTTGGCCATTGGGTGGAGTGCCAGGAATTATCTTTCTTTGCCTTAAGGCTAAAAGGCAGGGGCGTACCTAGAGCATTTGGCACCCGGGGCGGATCCTATGCTTGGCACTTCCCCCCCTACCCCCACCCCCAAAAAAAAAAAAAAAACCTGTAAAAAATGTTAAAGGTTTTCTTTCTTTTTTTTTTTACAATTTATAAACTTTGCAAAACCGCTGTCAGCCCCTCCTACAAAACCCTTGTCCTGCCCCGCCCCTCCTACAAAACCTCTGTCCTGCCCCTTCTACAAATCCTGTACTGCCCCGTCTACAAAACTCCCGCAACCCCCTTCCACAAATCCCCTGCTTATCCCCCCTTATAAAGACTCCTGTCCCAATACAAAACCCCCACCCCTTCTACAAAATCCCTGCAGCCCCTCACACACATTTACAGGCAGACAGTCACACACTCAGTTACAGGCAGACAGTCACACACAGTCACAGGCAGACAGTCACACATACACATTTCCTCCGTGCGCCCAGTTTATCTGCTGTTTGCTTGTGTGAGCTGTACTGGCCGCACGGCACCCTAACTACCATGGGGCACTGTGTGGCCACAGCTCACACAGCCCCCTCCAGCCAGGGCCGGTGCAAGGATTTTTGCCGCCCTAGGCAAAAGTAAAGTTTGCCGCCCCCCCATGTGACATCACAATGCCCCACCCATATGATTTGCCATGTTAACTAACGCCAGTGCTGCAGTGCCGCCGTGTTTACATTAAAAGGCCTGCAGGGACAGGATATAGACACCAGAACCACTACATTAAGCTGAAGTGGTTCTGGGGGCTATAGTGTTTCTTTAATGTGAGGTAAATTAGAGCTTAGTGCCACGAATAATATACTAGATTGCCTTCTTACAACCAGATGAGGATGATGATGGGCTCTAGCTGCAGTCTGGCTCCACTGGTCTTGTGCAGAACAGGCTCTCTGGAGGCGGTTTGTAACTGTGGTCACAAAAATCAATGTTCTCGGAGAACGGGAAGCAGCTCCATTTTTTGGGGGTCCTTTACACAGCTCAAGGTCTGAGTCCCAGGGTCCACCTTCATGTTTCACCAATGAGTTTGTTCACAGGGGGTGGAGTGTGTAGGGGATGTCCTGATATGTGTGTAAGGAATGCATTGTGTGAAATTGTGTTTGTATGTGTAAGGGCTGCAAGGTGTGTTTCTGTGTATGTACGGGATGCATTGAATGTGTGTATGGGATGCATTGTGTGTAACGGTTGCATTGCTTGTGTATGTGTGTCTGTGTGTGTAATGCATTGTGTGTATGTGATGAATGTCAATCTCCCCCCCTCCTCCCAATTTCTCAATCTCCCCCCCCTCCCAATTTCCTCCCCCTCCTCCCCTCTCCTCCCAACCTCCCAATCTCCTCCTCCCAATTTCTCAATCTCCCCCTCCCAATTTCCTCCCCCCTCCCAATTTCTCAATCTCCCCCTCCCAATTTCCTCCCCCTCCCAATTTCTCAATCCCCCCCTCCCCCTCTCCCCCCTCCAAATTTTCTCAATCTCCCCGTCCCAATTTCTCAATCTCCCCCCCCTCCCAATTTCTCTTTCTCCCCAATTTCTCAATCTCCCCCCCTCCCAATTTCTCTTTCTCCCCCCTCCCAATTTCTCATTCTCCCCTCCCAATTTCTCATTCCCCTCCCAATTTCTCATTCCCCCTCCCAATTTCTCAATCTCCCCCCCCCCCTACCTCCCTGTAGCGTGGCCGAGCCCAGTATAGTCAGCGGGTACAGGGAGCATCTGTCTCCTGTACCCGGCCGGACTAACAGGAAGTGCACACTGAGTGTGTACTTCCTGTTAGTCCGGCCAGGTACGGGAGACAGATGCTCCCTGTACCGGCGGACCAATAGAGGGCGCGGCCATGCTACAGGGAGGGAGTGA